CGGGTTGTCACTCTGTGGTCTATGTTCCTGATCACTACTAGTTATAGAATTACGTTGCACTTTCTTAGCCTTAGCTAGGAATCTTTCACCTGCCCTTGTTGTTCTTGGACTAGGCTCTGTGGAAGCGGGCTCTCTAACAGAACCCCTATGCTCGCGCTGACGTTCATTTCGATTCTTGTTGGTTCTAAAGCTGCTACAAATAGAACCTCTCCTAGATAATAGTGATCCTCTGAGTTGATCTGTAGTGGCCTCTGTAGATGCAGTGATGACTATGCAAATGCCACGGCTGAGCCTACTAAGACTAAGGAAATACAATGTAATTCTGTAACTGGTGGTGACCAGGACACAGCACAACCCAAAAATTGCTACATATACTACATATTTATGTAGGCAGTAATAAATATTTGTGAAGCAAGCAAGACAATAGCATAACGTTAAATGTCATTAGAAATGCATTTATTTTGCAGCATAAACAACTGAGTAAACAAGCGAAGAAAAAAGGGAGCCTCCCAAAGATTATCCCACCATTCAGAGAGACCTTGTACATACAAAAAGAAAATAAGTTGAATCATCAAATTTGATTTAAAATGTGAATAGTACTAGGAATACTTTCATTCTTGATATATTTTTAAAAACAGTAAAAAGTAATGAGTCTGTAATTTATATCCGAATTTATGTTTAATATTATGTAATCCTCATACACTAATAGATTAGTTTTAAAAAAGAGAAATGCAGTCATAAAGAACAATTAATTTTTAATTTATTTTAAATTATAAGTTACTAAATTAAGTCATTTGTTCAAATAAAATAAGTAATATTCTGAAAAGATTTTGTTCGAGTCTATTGAACTGAATAATTGCTACGAAAGGAAAATCAATATTTTTTTATTTCACGTATTTCCATTCAGTCATAGTCTCGTTTTCCAATAATTATAGGGAACGTTAAAACGAACTGTTTGTATTTGTTCCACGATGTTTTTATTCAGCAATTGATTTATTATGGAAAACTTATAAAATGAAAATAGTCCCAGTGAATTATTATTATTTCTATTTAACTATTTTTTAATAATGCTTGTAGTGCACCTATTATCTGTATCTCCAGTGGCGGAGATACAGGGTATCAGTGGCATATTTTTCTAAATAAAATAGTACGCTACTGTTTTACGGTACCAACTATGATATTCTCGGATTCGTCTTTCAATTTTCTACAAATTACTACTCTCTTATGTTTTTCGAAAATAGCTTGATTTTCGAGTAAACCCTAAAAAACCAACTGAAAACACTTGTACTTAAATGACATGACAAGCACTTATTCTATTAAAGAAATTAATAACATAAGTCATCATTTTCATGATTTTATTTGAGTAAATGCTCAAAAATACCTCCATTTCCACGAACACGGGTCCGACATCTTTTTAGTAACGAAAATGTAATTTCTTTGAAATTTATTGTTGCTTGAATCTGATGAAAAGCATTATTTATTCTTTCTTCTAACTGCTCAGAATGTCAAAGTTTCTATCGCAGCCCACTATGTAATTTTAAAAAACATTATATTCGAATATAGAAGTGTTCGTTTTTTAAGTTTTATTTGCTTTTGAGTTTACTTTCGTTGCAATCTATGCAAAAATATGCAGCAAATACAAAAACAATTAGGCTCTTCCGATACTTCTCTTGTAAGCCAGGAAAAAGAGCTGGGAAATGACCATTTCGCGACTTTTTGTTTCGGAGAGCTGAATTTATCACTATAGATGCTAAATATTATGTACAATAACATATTAGTTACCACAGTCATAAAAATGGAGGGAAGATTGTTGACAGGGTGGTTAATTGTATAATTTTTACGTAAATTCACGTTTTTCGCTAATAACTTTTTTCCGTTCATTTCCACGAGAAAACAGTAATTTACTTTTTTTTGTCCTCAAAAGACCTACAAAACTAGCCTTCGCGCTTCAAAAAATATTGATTAGATCAAAAGTTATAAACAGAAGAAGTTTCTTTATGACTTTTGAATTAAACATTTATAAACTGCGTTATTATTACCAGAACGTTTTGGCATCGCATCCTCTCATTCCTTATCACTGTCTAATAACTTACACGAAATCTGGAATCGGTAAGTTGAATAGTTTACAAGTTATGGCCTTATAAACAAATTAACTAATTACTAGTCTGGACGATCTCGAGCACAATCGCACTAATTTTTTTCACGGTAGATTTCATAATAATACATTTAAATCTATCATTTTAAATTTGCAACTTGGATTTTTTTTTATTTTTTAGCCTTAGTTACACAATGAAATATATGACGCACGCGCGTGATATAGTTATACAGGGTGGTCCCGAGGTAATGGGCCAAAATTCATGGATAGATTCCCCAAGTAAAAATATTGCGAGTTAGCCGAACTTACATTAGTCTAAAAGTTGATAGTTAAAGAGATACAGGGTGTTAAATGTAAAATATTATTTCAGTTTTTTTTAAATTTATTCCTTAACAAATGCAAATATCCTCACAAAATTTTGGGGATTGGAGTCCTTTGAGTACAGGAATTGAAATATGTTCACATTTTGGTTAAAGTTCATAGAGGGCGCTAGCTGCAGTAGATTGAATGTGTTAAAAACGACATAACTTTTTTGTACTTTAAGGTATCTCAACAATTTCTTATTTTTCAACTTTTTTTACACAAAAAATACACACACACACACACTTTATTAAAGCAGCTATATCGCACCGTTTTCGAGATATTTGGCTTTGAAACTTCCAATGCTGTTGCATTGAATTACAATTAAGTACCTACAGGTATTATTAATTTAGGGGTAAAGTTTCTTAAGTAGGATTTGGACGAAAATCAAATAATTGACGTCCTACTTGTCTTATTGCTATTTCTATTAAGTATTATTCGTATCTAATTAAAATTACATCTTAGCTTACACATTAAATTGTATACTCGTATACATACATAAATGTTAGATAGAATGCCGAGGTTTTCGTTTTTGGAGTTACATGAAATCAGTTGTTAATGGAGAAACTATAAACACTTGAGAAGAACTTTAGTAGCAGGTTTTAAATGCTGCAAAGTCATTTCGCATTAAGGATTTATACTTTAAAATAAGACAATATTTTAATAAACGTGTTAATAAATGTATTGAAGTTAGAGGTGGACATTTTGAGCAATTATTGTCAAAAAGGCATATTTTTTACTAATGTTTACTATTTTACTGTTCATTACAATTTTTAATTCTAAATAAACCCTTGTTTTTGACATTTCTAAATTATTTTAATTATTTCAACTATTAGCATTGGAAGTTCTAAACCAAAATATCTGGGAAACGGTGCGAGGCAGCTACTTTCATAAAGTCTACATTTTTTGTGTAAAAAAAGTTGATGGAAAATAAGAATTTGATATCAAAGATGAGATACCTTAAAGTACAAAAAAGTTATGTCGTTTCCAACACCTTCAGTCTACAGCAACTAGCGCCCTCTATGAACTGCAACCAAAATGTGAACAAATTTCAATTCATCTATCCAAAGAACCCCAAACCCGAAAATTTTGTGTAGATATTTGCATTTATTAAGAATGGAAATAAACTAAAATAATATTTTACATTTAACACTCTGTATCTCTTTAACTATCAACTTTTGGACTAAGGTAAGTTCGGCTAAATCGCAATATTTTTGCTTCAGGAATCTACACATGAATTTTGGCTCATTACCTCGGGACCACCCTGTATATTATTACATATTCGAAAAGCTTATGAAAAGAGCTTTAAGTTAAAAAAAATCGTCAAGATTCGTTGAAAAACAACAGTTACAGTTACAGACTGTCAAATATATTATTTTCAAGCAAATTTCGCTTTTTTAACGGCAGGACTATCAATATTTTCATCATTTTCATCGGACTCGCTGTCGTTCGCTTCCCCCACCCTTCCGCCGCGCCACGGCTTGCCGAAAAATCAATCGACTTTTAACAATATTTCTTATGCACTTCCAAAAATAAAATATTTCTATCTGGGAAAGTACTCGAGTTGTCGGTTATGACAGTATTTTTGCCGCTACCACCCTAATTTGTTTAACAATAGACCGTCAACTTTGACAGTCTGTAACTCCGTTGTTTTTCAACGAATCTTGACGTTTTTTTTTTAACTTAAAGCTCTTTTCATAAGCTTTCCGAATATGTAATAATATATAACTATGTCACGCGCGTGCGTCGTATATTTCATGAAAAAAAATCAGTGCTATTGTGGGAGATGCTCGGGATCGTCCAGATTAATATTTAGTTAATTTGTTTATATGGTCATAACTTGTAAACTATTCAACTTACCGATTCCAGATTTCGTGTGAGTTGTTAGACAGTGATAAGGAATGAGAGGATGCGATGCCAAGACGTTCTGGTAATAATAACGCAGTTTATAAATGTTTTATTCAAAAGTCATACTTCTTACTGTTTATAACTTTTGACCTAATCAATAATTTTTGACGCTCGAGGGCTAGTTTTGTAGAGTTTTTGAAGACGAAAAAAAAGTAATCTACTGTTTTCTCGTGGGAATGAACGGAAATAAGTTATAAGCGAAAAACGTGAATTTATGTAAAAATTATACAATAACCACCCTGTAAACAATCTTCCTCCCATTTTTTATGATTTTTATATTTATGGAAACTAATATGTTATTAGTATATTTAGCATCTATATCTAATGATAAATTCAGCTTGCCGAAACAAAAAATCGCGAAATGGTCATTTCCCAGTTCTTTTTCCTGGCCTATTGATGTAAATACCGATTTCAAAAAGAAAACAAATTTCAGAGGGTCACCTTTAAGGAGCCCCTCCTTCTTAGAATGATACTTCCTCGCTGAAGTTTCTATAAACCTTTTCTTTGATCTTTAATCGTACTATGCCTGAGATAAGAAGAACGTGATAAGCCACCTTGTATAATGTTTTATATAATGGGAACAAGATAAGAAAAATCGAGAAATTTCCAGAAATAAAAGAAAGTTTTTAATATTTACCGTGGAGCGCTTCCTCGCCTTTGACAACTGTCTCGCTCACCGACTCCTTAGCGCCGTCCACCAGGTTCTTCCCGCTTTCCACAAGTGGAGTACTGCTGGCACACCCCATGCTGCCACCGTTAGTTATGACCGCTGGGGTAAAACTGACCACCGGTCACCGCCACCCTTACGGCGACGTACAGTTTCCTTGGGAAACACCTACGTATATTAATGTTTTATTATTCAAACAATATCGAACGCCGGTGCCCCGTTGAGGGCCACCCAATTACGTGAGCCAGAAAGTGAGATTTCGCTGTAAATAGGTGTTCACTTTAAAATGAAAATTAATCGATACTGACTTCGTGTTGATGTCAACAAACCAGAATATATTTGTAAGAGCAGACGGATCGCACCTGGTCGATTTATTTTATTTAAACAGCACTGTTTAGATATCTATTTATTTATCTAGATATATCTAGACATACTCGTACAATAGTTATTTATTGTACTAGAACAATATAATATTATCCAACACTTGTATATAATGACACTATAATTTCTTTAGTTTTAAAGGAATAATGTGGCCTATAAGTCACTAGTGAGTTATAAGTCATAAGTCACTAGTAAGTTATGACTTATAACCCACTAGTGACTTATAGAAATCATAAAGAGTCAAATGTTTGGTTTATTTTTCTAGTTTTTTTTTAGAAAACCAATTTGAAACAGTAATAAGTCAACAAATAACCTAAAATGCTACAAACTTACAATTTACCTACTTAATAATACTAACATTAACATTTATGGTAAAGCCGCAATTTGATGCCAAAGGATTATTGGAATCATTTTGAGATTGTGGTAAATTTATAGAACAGGTTGCCCCTTTGCTTGTGCAATATCAATTTTGCTGGAAATCATCTATATAACCTTTTGCCATGGTAGATGACTTCCATCCACCGTGGCGTTTGAGTGTTGCGATATCCTCTCCAGCATTGGCCAAGAGAGTTGCAGATGCGCGACGCAAGCCACACCCTGTATCTAAATTAGAATCTGTCCGAACACCAACATTTGCGCAACAACATCAGGGATTTTTGATAGCTTATTAATACCAACTCATTGACGTGTGCATTCTGAAGTCAATTCCTCGCAACGGCAAGCGTCAAAAACTCCTAATATCAACGCCACCTAAAAACGACAAATTAAAGTTAAACTATTCAGTAGAACCTACCTTATTGATAAGATGATCTTCGTCTAGGGCTTCACGCAAAAATTGTTCGATTTGTTCTCTTTCTAAGACCTCGGACTTTTTTGGTTGAAAATGTTTATGCTTAGGCTTTAGAAATGCCAATAGTCTTCGGAATTTAGAAATTTCAATGTTCTTGTAAATTCTCAAAGTTGACATATATTTTGATTTCTCCGAAACGATGCCTGCAGTAGCCGCATTAGCTTTTTCTAAAATTTATTTTTTTTGCACGCTCAATTAATTTGACATCTTTACTGAATTTGTTGAGACATTTGTGACGTTTACAAATTAGCGGAATGTAGAATTTTAAAAATCAATTTTTATTAGACTAAATTAAAATTATAATTTGAACACTTAATAAAATTTATTAGAACCATAAAATTCGGGCTTAAAACAACGTCCTTTCGTGATGATGTTATAGCTGCTGCACATTTTGTAATAACACTACTTAATATACCGGGTGTCCGGAAATTATTGCAACAAAATTTGGACACAGACTCTTTTTAGACGACCCATATTTTTTATTTTTGCTAAGTGGCACCCACTTTCGGAGTTACAGCCCCCTAGAATCCGCCCCTAAAAATAGTCTTTTTCAGAAACCTGTTGTACGAGAATCACTAAATTTGATACACAGGGGTTATATGACATAAGGAATCTGATAGTGTTACGCTTTTTGGCGGGGAATCCCCGTAAGAAACTTTTTCGTGAGCACCCTTATCTTTGGAGCCAAGAAAGTTTTGTATTGTCAGAAAATACGTCGATTTGCATCTTAAAAACGCGCCGCACCAGAAATTCTGTATCAACTGTCGACAGAAAAAGTATACCATCCAAACTGTAGCAATACCTTGTATAACATCCTTCAGAAAATTATCAATTTCATGAAGTTACCGAATTCAGAAATATATACCGACTATTTTTTACGGCACTCCGCTCTGCAACCACAATGTTGCAGTTTATAAAAAAAAGTAATTCATTACATACTTTGTACTAAAAAATATGTCTTGTGAGAACCCCAATGAGTTTCCTTGAATTATAGTCATTACTGAATCATTATCGAACGAAAGCTGAAGGCTTAGTCGATTGATTTATGTAAGTACCTACTTACTTCTATCCATACGACAACAAAATGTAAAAAATCGATATATTTTTTCGTTAACGTCAATGAACTTCAGACGGATTGTTATATTCTGGGCGGTAAACTGTTTTTGTTGTAGTGTTTACTGTTGTAGTGCAATTAAATAGTATGAATTTCCATCGCACTATTGTGCTATTGATTTTATTCAAATCAACAAAAAGCCAATTATAGTTAGATTTAGATAAACGATAAAGACATAACTAGCGCCAACTTGTTTAAATATTTATGTTATAATTCATTCTGTTGGAAATTAAACACTTCACTGTATATTTATCGAATTATAACTGATCTTTATTCTTATTTTATAGTATAGATTATTTTGCCTTTTATATAACACGTAGTTCTTACAAGTGTCAATTTTTATAAAAGTTAAAAAAAATAAGTGTAGTTGCTAATAAAGATGACATATGTTACCGGTTACTAATATCAATAGAAAAAATAACTAAAGTATTTACCAGTAAGTCGGTATTTAGTGCAAAATAGTTTATGATCCGTTGCTGACGAACGAACTTTCAACGCTGTTGGTTACTTTTTTAAATTGTATATGTACCACGAACGGGAAAATTGTACTTTGTTTTGACGATAAATATCCGACCTGAAAGTTTGTTGTAACTTTGTTGTTACGCTTTATATTAATTACTATTTTCTTTCCTTCAACCACTTTTCTCTGTATCTGTATCAGTTTCCAGTGCAAAAACATATTATAATTATATTCAAAGGAAAAGCGGATATGTATAAAAATAGATAAAAAAAAATACGGTTATAATTTTTTCAATTGACATAAATATATTGTGTTCTATCTCGTAGTTATTTAAATTATTGAACAAAGGACAGGATAATACTTACTTACTTACTTACAGGACTTATAATTTAAGTAATTAAAATAAGAAATATTTTAAATGGCTCATTCATTGAAGAAAAAGGAAATATATTTTACCATTGGCGCATTCGCCATAAAATAGAATAATAAGTTATTTATTGTATAAGTGTTTTAAGTAGTATTTTATCCACGCAAGAATGTTTAAACGCGAGAACGTAGTTCTTAAGTGGATAAAAGGTAATTAAAACACGAATGCAATACAACGTTTTATCCACAATCACATTTATAACGAATGGAGGGAAAAACGGAGAGTAATGGCAATAAATGAAGTCATGCTATCGTATTTTTTAAATTTGAATAAAAAATGTACAATTTCAAACTTGATATTGCAAGGAAAATCCAAGGAAAATATAGCTGGTCCTTACAAGAGGAGATATCCGTAAGTTGTGCAAAATCTTCACAAACTTGGGTAGATGTTATGCGTTCCGAAAATGAAGGCGACAATGCTACAACGGTTGATATTAATGGAAAAGAAGTTAAATGTGATAAAACAAAAAACGAAATGTCTATTACTATAAACGTAAATGTTAATGTTAATAAATAAATTAATTAAATTTGCTTTATTATAGATTTATTATTTTTTCATTAAGCTACTAGTGAAATAAAGTTACTTTATTCCACTAGTGGATAAAGTGTCACTTTAGACGGTCCATTTATGTGAATAAAAGTCCGACTATAAGGTGATTGTGGATAAAATGTTTTGATTTTATAATATAAATTTTTAAAAGTGTTAAGTAAAAATCCAGAAATTAAATGTTAAATAATTATGTACAGTATAGGTACTTAATTAAAATTCTTCTTTACTTAATCTGTTAATTTCTCACGAAAAAAAAAGACAGACTAATAATACTGTAACAATAGCCGGGGCGCGCAGTCAGTTATTCTCGGAAGGATGGGTCAAAAAGTAAGATATTTCAGTCGACACAAATTATCGAAGGGTTAATGGTTTTCAAGTAGTAGGTCGCCAAGACAATCCTTCGGAGAAAATTGCCAATATTTTAACAAGTTCACTTAGACTGTCGAGGCCATGTGTTAAGCGTCTGGGAGGCGCCGTGTTAAACCCCATCTTTTTAATAAAGCGCGAAACCGCGAGAAAGAGCGTAGAGATTCCACATTAGAATTAAATTATATTGTAAAATTGATAGTAATTCGAAAAGAGAGTATACCTAAGCAGCTGGGTTTTTTTGACGGATTTTTTCTAGATATAAGAGTAGATCGATGAGATCGACTAATCCGTCCCGTAATTGCTACGCAGAGTCATAGGGGAAGGCTAGGGTTACTAGTAAGTCATATAATTATTGTTATAAATGTAAATTCAGTCAATTAGATAAGTATTAAAGCATCCCGACATTCAGGTCCCCATCAATAAGATAAGAACCGAAACTTCTAGACCCAAGAAATGGGCGTGGTGAAGCGAAGTGTGGAATTCAGGAGAGACCTCGAGAGAGACATTATTTCCTTTTTTAAATTCAGTGATTTCAATAGAACAACCAAGGTAAAATTATCTTTTGTTGTAAATGTACATAAATGCCAACACGTCAGTGCAGTTGATGTGATATTTTTAGAACTAGTCGGAATAACGATTAATATAAAATACTGGACTTTTATTGTTGTCAACAATACAATACATGTGAAAACTAACTTCTAAAACATGTAAATACACTCTATATAAATATAATGTTAATACAATAATCACATTTATTTGGCTTAGACTTTGTTTATTAATCCCTTCAAATTAAAATCGTAATTGCGTAATATAGTCTAATTAATTTCAATCTCATTGGGTTACAAATGTTAAATAGTATGACTATTACAGTCAGCACCATATAAGATTTTTTTGTTATTTAGAATATAGGTTTCCTACTTAAAATGATCACCTGTAC